ATATTAATTCAGCTGATTTGCGTATGAACAACTAATTATTAAATGATTTTAAAAAATATTGATTAAAGTAGTTTACTCCCTTTTCATATATAATATTGGTGATTACATAACATCTGCATTAAATATTTTTTTTATTAAATTTTTTCAAATCTTTAATTGTCATTAAAAATATTAAATGCAGAAAGCATTTCTTTTGACTGATTGACGGGTGATCAACGGCTGTGCTCCAGCCGATACTGCAATCAATAATTCGTTGCGCAAGCGCAGTGCATTTTAAATCAGCTGTTATTCATATCAGTCGTATGTTAATTTTTATTATTGTACGTTGCAAACAGTTTTACTTTAAAATTAAATTAAATATAATTATTTAATTTAAATTCTATCACTATGTCAAATATATACATATGAACGAGTTAAAAAATATAGAGTACTAAAATCATTAAAAAAAAATAATTGCCAACAAAAAAATCAAAACATTCAAAGTGAAATTGTAGAAAAGGAAGATGTGACAGTTGTTTATAATGATACCGGTGACACTAGTATAAGTTGTGAAATAAATTATAATATTTATGAGAGTCCTATCAATGATGATATTAGTTTAAATAGTGATAAAAATAGTGACTGTGATAATGACAATGGTGTCGAAGAAAATGATACGAATTCAAACGTCAATTTCCAAGAAAAGCTGCGAAACTGGGCTGTAAAAAATATAAATAGTCTTCAATTAAATGTCATCTCTTAAATAATTAATAAATAACTCTTTTTTAAATAATAATTTGTAAATAACAATATAAACATTCATATCTTTATAAAAACTTTTACTTGTAAAATTTTTTGCATTGAGTGTTCTTAAAAAAGTGACAGAAAAACTGAAAGATTTCGCGCGATTTTTATTGAGCATTCAAAACGCGCATCAAGGATTGAGTGTGTGTAAAGAAAAGTGGGAGACATTGACTGTAATAATGAAATTATTTAACAATGATGTTCCGATGTTGGCTTATTAAAATTTATAGAAAGTAAAATTCTTTAATTAATTTAAGCATAAATAACTATAATAAAATAATACTATAATTCTCTAAAAATATTATTAGCATTCATAAACTTCGAAAAATATTTTTTTTTTACATTTCTAAGAATTGAAGAAAAGTCGACTCGCGTGACAAACAAAAGAGTTACGCAGCGTCAAGTGTAACAAATGTGTGTGTCCAGTGTCTTGCCTCAGTTCTGTTGTCTCGTGTGTTGCTTCTGGTTTGCCGGCTTTCTAACCAAGAATTTGTGAAGTAAGTGTTTAATTAGGGGAGGGGGGGGGCAAAATGGGGTACTTAAGCAATCGTTATGATTTTAAGGACTTAAATACGCTGATTTTTCTCGTTTTCAGTCGTAATTAAAGGAAAATAATCAAATTTCAAGTTGCCGTAGAAAAAAAATTTTTTTTTTTTTGCAGGCGAATGGGGTACTCCCTGAAAGAGTGAAAAAAAAATTTCTTCAGCCGAAAATGAAATATCGTTAAAAAAATAACATTTTCTTATCGATAAGTCTACACGGGAAGAAAATTGAAGGAGTTATTACTATTTTACTATTGTAATTTTTACTAAATAAAATAGTAACGGTGGACTATACTTCTCATTTAGTAATTTTTACGATCTACTATTGTAAATTTTATCCAACAAATAAGACTAGCAAGAGTTTTAAAAAGTCGAATACTATAGAGCAAATTATACAATATGTGTTTGTGAACTTTACAATTCAA